TGGAACCTCAGTTTTTGAACATAATCCATTCTGGAAGACCATTCGACTTCCAAGATGTTTGAAAACTGAAAACTCAATGCAGAAGCCTCAATACAATAGGGAAACTCAAAACAGAAGCCACCTTGGAAGTTCAACTTCCGAGGCTCGTACGGAAGCATTTACTTCCGGGTTTTGGGTGTTCTGAAATGTTCGTCAACAGAGACGTTCGAAACCCGAGGTTTCGCTGTATTGTCTTAGGGTTGTAATGCTGAGATTTTTTTAGAAGTCTAAAAGGCCTTACCACCAGTTTTTCATTGAACTTAAGCTACTTCAAAAAATTGTGCCTAAATTTTAAACCACTTGAATCAGCTGATCATTGCTGGCTTCTCTCTTTTTTAGATTTTAATGGCTGTGGGCCCCTTAGCAATCACAACAACTGGGGAAAAAGTTGTTTTAAAACAGATTCTTTTGTACTCTTCCCATTTTGGAAATCTATGACCTCATGTGCTTCAGAAAATAGAGCTTTAAGAACAGAACAGAGAGAAGCTACTACATTTCAGAGGACTGTTGTTAATGTACAGCACATTTCAGGTATTTTTTAAGCAAAGGTGGTGATACATGGGTAACCCATTTTTACTTGGGCACATGGGAGTATTACCAATCCCCTCATCGTCTAACCACTTAAAATCAGATCTAGTACTTTGTACACAAGACTGTTTTCAGAAGAACTTAGAGATCTAGCAAAAGACACCTAATTCTCTGCAGCCTTTCTGTGATTCGGTTATAAACATCTGCTTCACAAATATTTACTCATTCATAGGTGTTTGCTCTTGTTAACGAAGTGATCGTTCCAAACTGCAAAATAATAGTAAATAAAAGGGGCCACCTTAAAATGCATAGATATCCCCCCCCCCGATTTTAGCTACTCACTTTCACATCTCTTTAATCCATTCTTTCCAGAATTTCCCTAGTAACTTTTAATTAATTATATTATTGCACAGCAGCTAATGACAGATGCTTGAGCATAGCTGAGGATATATTGTCAATATAGAAACAATGATAAAACTGGTGCATAAGAATGAGACCTACTTTCTATACTGTAGTTGAAGATACAATGAACAACAAAATGCATTTGCACTGTCATTTTAAATTGATAATTCTTCTACCATGGTATTCAAATCCATGATAGTGCATACGGACCTTGGAAATGCTGACCTCAGCTGTAGCAAATAACTTTTTATTTTATTTTACATCAATAAAATGTCAGCATAAGAGATGTAATAACCGTTCCAAATGCTTGCTACTTTTGGCGGAACTCTTTAACTTTTATCACCTTGCCAGGGGAAAGTCACATTTAGCCTTTACTTTAAAATATCCTTTGGTAATGTATCACCAAATATATTTTATATATCGTATATACTCAGACTTACCCTCCAAGATATTATTACAATACTGGGATAATATTAAGCCCTTATACTCTTTTCCCACTTTTATGATTTTAACAGGCAGTTTCTAGTGGCGATTTGTCAGCTGCAGCAGGGTGCTAAATGGAGAGATGTGACAGCTCCTTGCCTAGATAGGAGCTTAACAGAGCAGTGTGAGATTCAGCAACCTTTATCAACAATGACGCTAGCCAGCAGAAAGGGACAAAAGGTAATAAAAGTATGTGCTATTTCTTCTTCGGTTTTTGGATGGGCTGATGTACCACATTTAGTTTTTATCTTGCAGTAGTCTGCACAACATATTTCGAGAACTCATGATGTTCAGCATTAAAGGGAGTGGGTAGGTATATCATGTAACTGGTAACATTTTCTGGACTTGCAGGTGTGCACTGCAGCACAGAATAATGGTAAAATTCTGTACAGTCATGCACTAAGAGGTTTTCTGATTGCCCTGCCCTTTTCCCTGGGAAAATTCACTATTTAGCACTGAATTGTCAATCGCCAGAAAACCCGATGAAGCTTACTCCATTTCAGAGGTAAAGATTGGGTGGGGGTGGGAAGTGGCAAGACAAGCAAAAGCCTGCAGAGTCCTAGGTTAGGAAGAGTGAATTTAGTTAGCATCAAAACTGACATGGGTGAAGAACAAGGTCCAGTGATTTCCCTTTCTGTCATGTGACAAAAGGGAGCAAAACAAACACAGCTAAAAGGAAGACAAGTACAATGAAGAAATCTATTGGGAATATTAATGAGAAGTCTGCAGCTTCTATTGATGTCTTTTTAACTGCACAATATTGTACTCAGTCCAAACATCGAGGTCTGACATCAGCTCTGTAAAGTGGATTAAAGCTGATCCATTTTCAGTTTAAACTCTCTTCTCTCAGATCCACACAGTAGCAGGGCCTAACTCACACTAGAGCTCAAAACTGAAGTAGTAGCTCACCCTTAATACATGTGAAACCTTAGGAAGTAGAATAAAGATGAATGCGGAAGGTATGCATTTCCAAGGCCAGTGGCAAGGTTTAGGTTTAATGTTGGGGATTGGTAAAGAATCTCCTTCCTTCTGCCTCTTACTGTTACACTGCATTGGTCAAATAAGTCACAAAAGTATAAGTCTTATAGCCATGTAATGTTTTGAGCTGGCTTAGGAGACTGTGTAGGGTTTCTGGGTAACAGAGCAATGCTTTCTCTTGCCTTGAGAAAACAAGATTTTCACCAGTAAAGGAAGACAATACTGCTGAATCCCAGGGAGCCAGGAAGCTAATGCTACAAAACATTCCCTTGTTAGGTTCTGAACCGGCAGCCAATACTCAGCAAAGCACTTAAACATGCGCTTGAAGTCAGTATGATGAAATGGAAACTTCAAGCTTGTGTTCATGTAAATTACATTGCAGGAAAGTTGTTTCAATGGTTTCCCCCCCCCCCGTAATATAACTTAATCAACAGTTACAACATGATTCTAAATAGCTTTATGCAGAAGTAAATCCTACTGATTAAGTTTCTCCTGGTACATAGGATTAGGACTGCAGCCTTAGACTACGGTGCACTCAAGTTACATTATCCAGATTAGGCTCTGTGGGAGTTGCAAAGATCTCAGCCTCATACATCAGTGTTAACTGAACTCAAAGGACTAGTTACGAACTGTGAACAGATTTGTTTTTCCTAACCCTCTCCTGAGAGTCAATGTCAGCACAACCAACCTTATTTTTCATTCACAAAAATGAATGAAAATACCACCTTCGGTCACCAGTCTGTGCTGCACAAACTGAGATGTATAAAGGCCAGGACTATCATTCTGACCCAAACTCAGGTCCAACAAGGGGCTGTTGGCTTGTAAAGTGAGAAGTTGAAATAACTCTATTCCTGGTGCCTCAGGACCAAACTAGATGGGATACCTATTTGTTTAAACCTGAGACTGCCTCACTCACACATAAATTAGGGTAAGAAGCCCACATTTTAAGGATAAAATGAAGGAGAGGGCTACCTGCAGCATATCCCCATACAACCTGTCCTACCCCCAGCTCTTTTATCCTCAGTTGACCACTGAGGAGTAAGTTTGGCTAGGTGAAAAGTGATGTGGGGAGGCGATCCCCTTTTGCACTCCCCTTTTCTCTAAAAATAGGGTCTCACGTAGCTCACCTTCTAGGTGACTGGGGCAAAAAAGTCATTTGATTGATCAGTGGCATAATGTATCTAACAAAATGCATGCTTGACAAATGTACCATTTTTGCCTTACAGATACTTAGATGAAAACCTATACAGATCAACACTTTCCTTCTATTTTACTCAATGTTTAGCCTTTCCCCACCAGACCTCTCATTCTAGCTCATTTGGGTTTCATCTTGTATGTAAGTTGGCAGTTTTGGGCTCGATCCAGATCTAACCAAAGTTAAGCATGTTTAAGTCCCAATGATTGCAAAGGAAGAGATCGCCCCCTGTAGAAGAGACATTTGTTTTCCAGTTTGAACATAAAAAAATGTTACCCATTTGAAGCGCACCACATTTCACTCCATGGTAGGGGTACAGATACAGGTTCAAAATGACTGTGGTTTTATCACTGGCATTTTAATTCCCCGCACTATGAGTCTCCCTCTTTTTTTTTGTTTGGTTACAAAAGCTGCTTTTTACCCAGGAACTGCAACCAACTTACTTTGGGCACAATGCAGCAGGGCGTTCTCCTGTATAAACCACACTGAAATAAATAGGAGTTGGTCAAAAGGGCTGTGATATAGATCCCATTTATTTCAAAGTTGATTGCATAGGAGGACTTCCCTGCTGGATTATGGCGCATTTACTTTTTGTGACCAAGCAAGCCTGAACTTGTGTTTCAGAGAAACACGATTACAAAAAATTATAGAGGTTCAGGGAGATTCTTGGTTGATTATATTAAACTTAAAGCCCACAGTATTTCTGTCAAATATTTAATACAGCTTTACGTCTTTTGGTATTGACCTGTCGTAAACAATGGCATAACGGTTGGATCTACCATTTCCTTCAAGGCTCCCAAAGCAAACTGTGGTCCCGTGAGAGAGCAGACAAAACCCAACTCATATAAGGTAAGGAAATAACCACCTCTTATAAAAGAAAGGCGTATGCTTTGTTCTTTAGGTAGCTATGCCAGTACAGAATGTTTTTGATCAGGGGCTACAGCAAGCAAACACAGGGACTGTTGCAGTTCTTGCAAGTTGTACAGCCAGTCGCCACTAATGCAATGCACAAAGAAAAAAAGGGGGCCGGGTTGTGGGCAGAGGTTGTGGGGAAGATATAACCCAGAATGTTAGAGACTTCTGCGAAATACTGTGGAACAGCAATCACTTGTAACTTTTACAAAACTTGCTCTCAACATAACATAACATAAAGGCACCATTGATATCGTTCTCATTTTTGAAATACTGTAAAAAAATTGCTACATATGGCACATAACACTTTTTGTATATACATTATATATTTAATTTATAAAAGTTTTTTTCCTGTTTTGTCTTTTTTAATCCTAATAGCGGAACTGCTAAAATAAAATAAATTGTTTTTAATTTAAAGGTGGAGTACTTCAATATATAAAATAAAGTTTTACATGTGAATCTATGTGGGTTGGTTTTTTGTTTTTTTTAGTGTTTCTCTCTCTCTCTCTCTCTCTCTTTTATACAGCGATGGGATCTTGGTTAGCTATTACACTGGACAATCTTGCTTGCAATTCTTCCTGTGTTGAGAACCGACTGTTTTGGGTAGTCCTGGTGTCAGCCAGTCGATATGCAGTAGCTGATTCCAGGTCGACTGTTATGGGGTTTTGTATGCTCAGAAAAGGTGTATCTTCCCCTATCCTCTCATCTTCTGTTTCACTCTCTGAGCTACTGTTCTCACAGCTTGTGTCGGTGTTCATTTCCAACCTATTGGAAATATGGCCATTGGGCTTTGTTCTTTTGGCCCTCCGACTGTTGACTAGTTTTTTGGGGGGCTCTTGCGTCGGTTCATACTCTTGTGTGGTTTCGTATTCCTCGTCCTCCACTATCCTCAGCGGACTTGGTGGCAGGCTGCCGCTTTCATGCGCAGGGTTGTGGTGGTAAGAGGAGTTGAACTGTTGCATGTGATGCTCGTATTTTTCCCGTAACCGGGGTGGGGTCACCAGAAGGAGAGGCCTCTCCTCTTCTATAAACGGGCTGACTGCCACAGAAGGGACAGACATTGTTAAACTGGAGACTTGCGGAGACATTTCTGAGGCAGGCGACTTTGGAGAACTTGGAGTATGGAAATCTACGGGTGACATGCGAGCTGGTGTTGTCATAGCAGATACGTACCTAAAGAAGTACAGATAAAATTGAGCTGGAGAAGAATTAAGTGGAAGAACAAAAACGTGACAGCATTAAGAAAAATAATTTCTGGGAGGTTCCCAAGCCATTTGGATTCTTGATGCACAGCCTGCCAAATTGCTAGTAATACTGAATTATATTAGTGGGGCTGCAGTGATACACTTCTTCATTTTCTAAAAATAAAATAAAATAAAATACTTGCGTTCCTAAACTCCAAATCTGTACAACCAATGCTTGAGACAAAACTGATTAGCATGTATAATTAAATTTTATATATTAATGTTCCTCATTTTCACAAGTCTTCATGAAAATGAATAGCAACCCATGATGAAATATAGATAACATCTCCAGCGATATTCATTTCCATCAGCTTTAGAGAAGAGAAAATTTAATCTTTAGCGCTGAAAGATTTCAAGGCTGGGAAGTGCAAATTGGTTGTATGGATGTCAAAGGAATTTCAAGGTTTTACACCAAGGATCTTCATCATGGTGCTCATTTACATATGAATTCAGAACGCATTCAAGGCTAAGTTTAAGAATAGTAGCACAATGGAAGCACTCTTCCTAGTTAATTAATCTACTGTAAGGCCCTGCAGCATTTCAGGCATGACCACATGCAAATAATACTGCAAAGGTTATTCAGAGGTGCGTGTCTCACATTTATATGATTTAGTTATGTATCTATCATTACTATTGATTTATTTCCTCCATGTGTGTCTTCCATTTGCTGTGCCACACTGGGTATGAGTCATGGGAGTATATTCCAGATACAGTCATACTTCGGGTTACAGGCGCGTTTTCTCAGGTTACGGATGCGCCAAAACCCGGAAACACTACAATGGGTTACTTCCAGGTTTCAGCGGCCGCACATGCGCAGAAGCGCTAAATTGCGCTTTGCGCAGATGTGCTGAATCGCCATGTGCGCAGACGTGCCGCTGCGGGTTGCGAACATGCCTCCCGCACGGATCAGGTTTGCAACCTGAGCGTTCACTGTATTTGCTTTCCAGAAAGGAAGTTAACAGAGACCTCCTGGAGAAGAATCAAGTGGGCCCTACTCTGATAATAAATAGTCACATAAACAATAATTCAGTGGTGCTTATTCTATATCCCACATTTCTCTTAATAGGAATTGATGCACGTTAAATATATGGTTGAACTGAGGCAACTACGTGACTACAACATCAATTAGTGGTATCTAAGTGAGTGGAGTTTTCTTCTCCCAAAACCTCAACTGAGGGAAGATGCCTTCAACCTGCTTTTTGTATTTTTTGCTCTTTGAAAGAGGTTGAGAATAAATCAACTGAAATTTCTTATTAAAGTAAGGAGAAGGGGGCTGTGTATTAATGTTATAGTTTAAGCACATCTCTCTCTCTCACACGGTGCATCAGGTTGGAGGTTGGAAAAAGCAGACCAGACTTTCATAATTCCTAGTAGGAACCTTTTCCTTGTTATTCTGATCACCTGCTTTATTCACAGTCTACTTTGGCTGCATCTGCACTTAAGCTCCACTTTCCTCCTAAAAAACCACTCCAAAAAGACTTTGTGCCATGGGAGGGATCAACATCTTTGGCTAATTATTCAGAAGATCATAAAATCCCCTTGTAAAGAAGTCTGCTCTCAGCTTAGAATCTCTCTCCCCAACTCCCATCTATCACTGAGTTTCAAATTTGAGATGAATAAACAAACATACAATCAAAAAACCGAAGGATTTTCTTGAAAGACTGAAAAAGCAGTTTTAAAAATGAACTCATTTCTGCCGGCTTGTATCCCAGATAAGTCACACCTTTCGAATTATTGGCTGTAGGTACCTCTCACTGTGTGGTGAATCGCGGTAGGAGTCGGGTGTCTCTCGTGCATGCCTGAGAAAACTATTACATTCCCGTGGCCCTCCAATGCCATTGAGACGCCCTCGGGGGCCTGACGGACTTGCATGCCGGCTGTTCTCAACTGAGGAGCTCACAAGCACAGAATGGCTTTCGGAGATGATGCTTTCCGTCCGACCGTTGCTCCAACTAATAAAAATCCGTTGGGAAGAACAGAAGAGAATATTTTAAAATTTAACACTGGAAAGAGAAAACTATGTAATGCATGATCCAGGAGTGTGCATAGAGGTAAAGTTTTTCTAATGCTGCTGATTAAGAAGATAATTCTTAAAAAACTACTATGTACACAAAATGGGGGGGGGGATACCCTGAAACTTTCAGCCTTCAACTGACATAGTCTTCAAGATTTCACTGTCATACAAAGGAACAAATGGTACTGCTCTGTGTCAAGGAAAGCCATATTATATAAACAAATAAGAAATTATATGCTCTGAATAAATTATGAAGTTCACTATAAGCGTATTTACTTGGAATTTATTCGGAATATCACTAACGGTCTTGCACATCCTCATTAAAACCTAATTGTTGGATACACAAACCACAGATAAGAGGGGAAAGGGTTGCTGTGGGAGAGAGCGGGGATACTGTAGCTTAAAGGTAAAGGGACCCCTGACCATTAGGTCCAGTCGCGGACGACTCTGGGGTTGAGGCGCTCATCTCGCTTTACTGGCCAAGGGAGCTGGCATTTATCCGCCGACAGCTTCCAGGTCATGTGACCAGCATGACTAAGCCGCTTCTGGTGAACCAGAGCAGTGCATGGAAACACTGTTTACCTTCCCGCCAGAGTGGTACCTATTTACCTACTTGCACTTTGACATGCTTTCGAACTGCTAGGTTGGCAGGAGCAGGGACTGAGCAACGGGAGGTCACCCCGTCGCGGGGATTCGAACCGCCGACCTTCTGATTATCAAGCCCTAGACTCTGTGGTTTAACCCACAGCGCCACCCGCAACCACTATACTGTAGCTTACCCCTTCTCAAATAAAACCACTGGAGAGGAATACACACATTTCAAAACAGTAAATTAAACAAAATAAGAGCAAATGGTTTTTAAATGGGCTACAGAGCTGAATAGCCTGGCTAGCGTCCACCAGATCTTTTTATTTCTTTAAAGACAAGATGAAGACACTTGGACGTGTTCATCTAGCCTTGAGTGGTAAACTGTGGCAACACCTACAGTATCTATACAGGGTTACCCAGGAGTAAATTGCACAAGACTTATTCCCAAGTAAGTGGGCTTTGCCATCATACAAAGGAATAAATGGCCAGACCTTCACAACCAGTGACCCACCAAGCTGAACTGCTTGCCCGCCCCCTGTATGGTAGAGTCCAAGGGTATTTTGGGGCCACTAATAGTTTTCTGTATGTCTGACACTAGAAAAACAGGGTTGTCAAGCACATGGCAAGCAGCTAAATATGGTTGGTGGGACATGTTCAGTTCTGTGGGCAGGAATTCACTGCTCAACATTGTTCTCATCAGAGGCATCATTGAGAATTAGGCATAGACTAATTCCACACAACAACTTAATAGCAATGAATCTATTATTCAAAGGAATAATTACAACATCCCAGGAACAAAAAATTGATTACCTTGTTACTTTGATTACCTTGTTACTCATATGCTGTATTAGTCATTAACAATAATAGTGTGATCAAGGTGTGAGATGACTGCAACACAGAGCTTTCCGAACTTTTCACATTGGTGACACACTTTTTAGACATGCATCATTTCAAGATACATTAATTCAGTTTTACTAGCAAACCAGAGGTTAAACCAACCCCTTTCCAGCCCCGGGATGGGCGCAGGGAGTGTTTGTGTGATACACCTACGCACTGCAGCCGACACACTAACCTGTGACAACAGACAGTTTGGAAAGCTCTTCTGCGATAGACATGGACTCTAAAATCATGAAAGGTTTACACTTACTTTAGCCCTTCCCCTCAGCCAACAAAAGCTGCTTTTTAATATGGCTTAGAAGACTATGTGAACATTTCAGCAACCAGTAAAAAGTCTCTGTAATCAAAGATTTGTTGCAATCACTGGAAAGGTCCAAAATGGTTAAAAGTTTACCAAGATGCACCTTTTCTTAAAAACAGGTTTTATTTCAGCCTCCTACCTGTGACTAGGTGTCTGGGTGACCGTTGTGGAATGGTGAGTCGTTGAGGTATAGTGGCTTGTAGAAAATGATGTCTCTGTTTCTCTCTCCACAGCATGCTCACTGGATATTACATTTTTTGATACATATTGCTAAATAAAAGGGAGACATAACTCACATTTATAAGCACAACTCATACATCATGGATGGGATTCACCCAATTAGTCCTTTAAATGAAAGGGCTTCTACTTGTGTAACTGGCCTTTCTCCTCTCCCTCGTGCCCCCCCACCAGTGGCTTGTGTGTGTGTCAATCCTACACACATTGGTAGGATTGACAGAAAACTTGTACAGTGGTACCTCGGGTTACATACGCTTCAGGTTACTTATGCTTCAGGTTACAGACTCCACTAACCCAGAAATAGTGCTTCAGGTTAAGAACCTTGCTTCAGGATAAGAACAGAAATTGTGCTCTGGCGGCGCAGCAGCAGCAGGAGGCCCCATTAGCTAAAGTGGTGCTTCAGGTTAAGAACAGTTTCAGGTTAAGAACGGACCTCCGGAACGAATTAAGTACTTAACCCGAGGTACCACTGTAGTAAAAATTTGAACTATGGATTGACAAAGGATCTATAAAAATAAGAGTTATGAAAGAGATGCAGAGGGTAAAATCATTATAATAAGATCCACAATGGAGGGCGGGGAGGGAAGTCAAAAGGGATTATATGTTTATATATTTAATTCACTTGTTTATGTAAAATAGAAAATGCAAAAAATAAAATTTATGAATACTCCCACTGAAACTCCCTCCATCTTACAAACTAGTTCATCAGGGAGAAAGGTTTGGCTATCTAAAATTACAACACTAAAGGTGCTTTCTGATAACAGCACATCAGGCCAGAATATGGACTGGCTTTCTCCTAATGCACTGGGTAACCAAGGGTAGATTTCTGAGTAGGGGCTATGGATATGTTTTGACTTCCCTTTTCAAATACTTTCTCTCTCCACCCATAACAACTAAAAAAAATATGTTGGTCCCCTGAATTTCAGTGGTGAGGCGGCAATCTGTTCTTAAGTTCTTTGTGAAGCGTGTTAGGGGCAGCATAAATTTCCTGTATTTTTACAAACTAGTCGTTCAAAATATTTAGTTTGGCCATCATTTGGGGACTTTATAGGAACAATAGAGTCTGAATTCTGGCCTATTCTTTCCTAATGGCTCAAAAAGCAATTGCCAGAAGAAATAGTTTGCCTATGTGGTGCCTAAGTAACAGGCATAGTTTGTCTACAAATTGGCTCTCTCAGGGAATGATGTAATATGAGAAATATCTGCATTGTTTAAACACAGAGAACAGGTGAAATCCTTTGTCTGCTGGAATTGACGGCAAAACTCTTATTGACTGCAAAGATCCTTAGGATTACCCCCAAGGTAGCTCTGGTTCATCTGTAAAATGTACTGCTAGCTGAGTGCTATTTTGGTTCTGTTCAGGAGTTCACCCCATTCTTTTATCTTTAATCCATAAATCAGGTTTCTTGTCTAGTAGGCCATGGACTGCATTCAACTCTCATTGTCATTTTTTTTTAGCCCTTTCCTTAGCTCAGAGTGGCACCTGTCAAATGAGGTGGTCCCCTGCATGCCTAATCTTGCAAGGACCTCTCCACTTCTGTTCTGGCCAGCAGACATTGCTCCTTTCCAACCTGAGAATGTCTGAAAAAGCTCTTCAGCAGCAGTGGATTGGAAGCTGCTTCTCCTTTTGCCAGCAGACATGTATTAGGAGAAATCACATTGTTAATGCTATTTATGCACTCAGCTTAAGCACTGTGTGTACATTGAGTAACAAAGCCAGTAGCTCCTCCATATTCATGAAACACTTTCTTGGGAGTACGTTTGGGCTCTAAAGACATCTTGGAAGCATTATGAGGGCAGAACCTCCACTGAAATGAACATGAAGAAGAAGAGGTTGGATTTGATATCCCGCTTTATCACTACCCAAGGAGTCTCAAAGCAACTAACAATCTCCTTTCCCTTCCTCCCCCACAATGAACACTCTGTGAGGTGAGTGAGGCTGAGAGACTACAGAGAAGTGTGACTAGCCCAAGGTCACCCAGCAGCTGCATGTGGAGCAGGGAAGTGAACCCAGTTCACCAGATTACAAGTCCACCGCTCTTAACAACTACACCACACTGGTAATATTTTACACGAGCTATGTATGACCAAGGGCAGCTCTTTTACTTGAAACAAAGTGGTGGCAGGCAAAAGAACTGCAACAAAATCTTATCTATTTTCTCAGAGAACCAAGGGCATGGTTGCTCTTGTGATTAAGAAAGTGAATGAACGTGGGATCCACACAGGATATGGCACATCCTTTGCTTCAACCATGGGAATATTCCCCCTCACATGGATTCCATTTTGTGAGAATGAACATTCAACCTGAGTTGGCAGTGCTCAGTATTATTTTGACGTTAATATTCTATGTCCTTAAGATGGCTTTCAAAGTAAAATTCCATGTACAAAACCAGAAAGGGTGCCCACAAAAATACCCTGCTTCTAACTTCAGGTTCTGTTGTTGTCTGGACAAGGTACATGGTTCATGATTGGTTTTTTGTGGACAATCAGTGCAAAAGGATGTCTCTACATTGCTGTGCTGATAAAATCTAATTTCCATGATTTCATATAGAAGAACTACCAGGATTTGAATTCTCTATAACTTTAATTTATGTAACTTCAATTATGCATTTTTCCAGAAAAAGAAAGTCTGTAAATTAGAATTATTCTGAGTTACATTCATAAGAGCCAACTCCTAGGGCTTAGGGTTCCTTCAGCATCCTCCATAAAATATTTGAGGGGGTTCAGCCCCCACTAAAAGTTAATGGGCATTGTTATTCAAATGGTGTGCATGTGCCACATCTTGTGATCAATTATATGGGATGAGGCTTACCTGGCCTCCCCCATATTTTATTCAGGTTGGCACACCAGTTACATTGGAAAACTTTCTTCACTCTTACAATTGCTTTTTTAGGTGGTCGTGGTAGAATAACAAGTTATTTGGGCGGGGGAGAGAAGCATGCTTATCATTTCTATCTGATAACTGATTAAATGGCTCTCAGATAAAAACTGGTGATGAAGTGATGAGCTACACTTCGCGGTGTCACTTGTGCAAAACTTACATTCACCAGCTGGACATTTTCTGGCGGCGGGTGAGGGTGGTGAGGCCCATTGGCCATATTGACTCTATGGTTGCGCTCAGATCGAAGGCCTTGCCGGAGGCGGTCGTGCAGCTTTTTCCGCTGTTTCCTGGGTTTCAAATAAAGAACAGCTTTAATAGTCAAACAGACAAAGCAGTTCTGCTCTGCAGCTATATCTGACCAGCACATTCCCATACATGGATTATCTGAACGACAAGAAACTGCAAGAGATCTATACGACGTGAAGAGTTCAGGACTTCCAGAACTCTGTCAGGCTTATGTGGAGAGAAGATTTATCGGGAAAGGTGTTCTACCTTCCAAAATGAATTGCCTTTCTGAAACTTTCACAGTCTGTTGCTCTTTTGAGATCAAAGGGGGGACGACAGCCATGGATTTCAATTGAGAAGCAAGACCCTATGATATATACGTTATCTATTCACGTTCACCCTTGTTTCTTCGTCTCTATCCAAAATGTGCACTTCATATGTTTTGGAAGGTGCTTGGCATAATGCACAAGGACTTTCTATGGAGTATGATTATGTTTCTCTCCTTGTCAGTGTGCCTATGACTTTAATAGGTGGGCTTTAGGAAACTCGGGTGGCATAATGGGTCAGTGTATCTGGTTGTTAACCCACTCAGGGATGGCTGTGGGCAGGATTCCTGCACTGCAGGAAGTTGGCCTAGATGCCCCTCTGGGTCCCTTACAATTCAGTGAAAACAATGCTCTTATCTCTTATCTTTACAGGAGAGCACCATTCCCAACAGCAGCTAGTTTCTTGTACAGTATCTAGGTGCAGAGGCCCTTGCAAGGCTTTATTCTGAATTCATGTGCATCTCATCACTTTTCTGAAATAACCTGGTTATCCTGATGCCTGCCTGCAATGTAATGTACAGTCGTGGACATGTACTGACTTTAGCTGTGCAAAGAGAAAAAAAGAAACTCTTTTTGTACAGCAGTCATATATTTTAAAAATGTAAGCTGTTTCAAAATGCTTTTAAATAAAGTAAAATCCAAAGGTGGTAATTCTTATGGTTTTAAGGTATGGACTTTGTTCAGAAAGATGCAACTGTTTTTTTACTGAGCTTTTCCCCAAGCTCTGCTGCCACAGAAAGTGCTGAATCACTCACTGGCCTGTGCTGAACTATAGATGGGAGGAGGATACTGCATCAACTGCAAATTCACCTGAGTCAAGGGATACAGCTGCAGCAAAGAAATCTGCTTTATTATATAATATTATAGTGTATGTTTATATTGGTTTGACTCTGCGCACGAAGGTTAACGCTGGCATTCCCTTGATTAAGAATAGGTGTTCTCATAGCAGGAAATGACTGAACGATCCCTCACTAAAACCTTTACTAGCTGCAAAATAAGTGTATGCGTTTTTCTTATTTAAATTTCATTAATAGGAAAGTGTAGTGGCATTTCCAGTGGCAATGTTAATAAAGTGATAAGGTGACATCACATAACACTGACTCTTCCAAAATGTTCCATCTGTACAGCAGTTAATTCAATGAAGAGGCACCGCTGCAAGGAACAGAATGCACATTTAGCTTTTGCAATACTTTTTTCTTTTCTGTTTCCCTTTAGTGATTTGCTTTTGTGTGTTTTTTTGGTTAGTGAGTGCCCTTCATGTGCAGGAAAAAAAATGGCCCATTTTCAATACAGAGATGAAACACAATTACCTACCCTCAGCAAGTAGACATAAGGATGGGCTGCTCTAAGAATAAGCAATTCTTATTCCAATATGCTTTAAATCCTTATATTTCTCTAAGAACGAAGTGCACCTCCAATTTTAGTTCACAAACAAGTGTGGCTCTGTCATCAGATTAGATAACACTGCAGTTAGATTATGGCCCATTTTGCATGTAAAATTTAGCCAGCCATGGCTTAGCATGAGCAAATGAGCAGGTTCTCAGAATGAAGTTCACAGCTGCAGTGCTCTTCCCCTAGTCCAGCTGCTGCCATGCAATTTAGGCTTAGGGTTATGTTCAGACTGGGTGTATGTATTTCAGAATGTCAAGAGGCACAATAAATAGATCAGAGTTTGACCATGGGTCAGGTGTACAATATAAGACACAGTAATAAGACTTTCGTGTAGGTATGTCCAAAGTTCGTTTTGGGGGCCTAATCTGGCCCGCTGGTCGGTTTAATCTGGCCCCTGTGGCAGTTTATTTCCTGGGGTAAAACCCTAAAAACCTCAACAGTTTCAATCCTAAAAAAAGCTAAACAACTTTGGGGTAAAATCATAAAAAAGGTCAACAACTTCAATCCTAAAAAAATGATTTGGTTGGCCCTTCACTTCATCAAATTTGGCCCTCTTTGAAAAAAGTTTCGACACCACTGAAGGCTGCCAATTCATGGGGTGACAGATTAATTACCTATCAACATGCATTTTGACATTCATTATTAACATACTGAGCTAGTATATTAAATTGTGGATGAGATTTTTGGATTTAAACCTGGTTCAGGAGTCATCCTACAGCATGATTAAGAACTTTCTAACAATGAATTTTAATTCTGAAGCCCTGCAGAACAGAGGGGACACTTAGGCAGTTATCTCAGTGGGTCATGAGTTAGATTAGAAAAATCGTCTCCTTATAGACAAACAATCCCAGTAACTACCTGCCTTGTTGGTAGTAGCAACTGCCCCGTGGAATGCCCTCCCATCAGATGTCAAGGAAATAAACAACTATCTGACTTTCAGAAGACATCTGAAGGCAGCCTCCTGCCCAGAGTGGCTGGGGCAACTCATTCAGATGGGTGGCATAATTAATAATAAATAATAATAATAATAATAATAATAATATCACAATAACAATAATAGTCTTCTAAGGGTCATCTCCATAGGAATTTTTTTTGTGATTATACAATATAGCACACTCCAGCTTCACTATAAGGTTGCAAATAAATTCTTGAGTTTATTTAGCTGCTTAATCTTGCACCAACAGTTGCAAGCACATTTCTTAGCTGTCAGGGAACTGCCATCAGAGGCATGGGAGAAGGAGAGGGTCTCTGATTCTGCAGGGGAAGGTCCAAGCGCTAGAGGGAGACTCAGCCGGGAAGAAGGGGAAGAGAATGAGTGTAACACCAGGGATCAGGGAGAGCAACGGGACAGGGAGGTGCAGGGGCTCCAGGACTCTTCATTGGAAGTTAGCGAGGAGAGCCCCAGCACCCCACTGCGCACGCCCACCCTGCGCAGGAGACTCCCGCGCAGTGAGAGGAGGAAACGATTGGGCGTCAATCAGCTCTTATGTTGGCAATGCTTTAAGAAACGCCCACAGACAGATTCTACGAGTGACTAAGAGCAGCCACGCTAAGATGGGCTGCGTAGTCCGGAGGGTTTAACCAGGCAATCCGAGGCTCAAACGGAGCAGGATTACGCACGAGTAACTCCCAATCCCCACATTAGCCTTTTGTTTCGACAGGGTCCCGATCCCTCAGTGATAAACACAAATATAGAAAGGAAGAGGAAAGTTTACTTGGTTTTGCAGTAGGCCACAACACACATGATTCCAACTACTAGGAGAGCAATGCAGATGCCAGTTATGGTCAACACCCTTTTCTGGTAGAGTTCCTCAGCTTCTAGAAAGGGGCAAAAAGGAGAAGGTTACAAAATGTACACTAGATAATAAAAGACAGAGCAACCAATGCCACAAACAATTATTTTACAATCTCACGCAGTGAAATCAATGGCACAATCACCATACAAAATTTAAGTTTAGAAATTAAGATCCAAATGCAATACTAGGGATGGAGGAATATGAAGTTTAAAATAAATATAATTCAAATTAATTTGTACTTGTAGTTCAAAAATTCTGTTTTTAAACATAATTTTAATAAAAATTTAGAAAAACAAAAAATTACGCAAAATAAAATGCACTGATAGAACAACAATGCATGTAGTGTAGAAACAGGTTTTTCCTCCTTGCAAAGAGAGCTGGATGAAGATAGATTTACAGCAATCTCTCCCCCGAACCCAACAATTTTCTCCCCCCTTTCTTCTTTGGCATTTTAAAACACACTGCTGCTTTTCCGGTATTAACTTAGATCACAGCAATCTTTACATGAGAAAAGTTACCATTGTACTTTTGAGTTTGGCTTGCAATTACGCCACCGGTGAAAATTGCACCACTTTTAGAGGATTGCTAATGCAGTTTATCTGCTGACCCCAATTCTTTCCACTGGCCCCAAAGTGGCTGCAGCAATAGGCAGCAATGCATTGTATCACACAGATATTGCTGCGCTTACTCAAATGTCATAACTGTAGCAAAAAGAACAGTTGCATGAAGAAGATCTGTTCCACCGCAATGACCTCACTCAAGTGATATTTTATCATTATTAAGTAATTCTTAGGGCAAGCAATGTTTGGTTTGGAAAACCCCCCACCACATTCCATTGTCTGTCACACTTGGCAAAACATCATTGTGTATGTTGAACAAAGGAAACGTTACAATTAGAACATTGATACTAACTGTACACCGGCTCATGGAACTTTTTGTTTCCTCTATTCCTTTTGTGGTTTGTATTTTCAATACAAAATTGCGAAACTGTTACATCATCCTGATAGAACAAAATTAACGTAACCAAGGTGTGAGGATCCAGCAAGCAGTTGCAGAGATGGGGAACCTGTGGATCTCTGGATGACGTAGGGCACCCAACTCCCACCAGGTCCAGCCAGTCAGGAATGTTGTACTCCAACAACCTCTGGAAAACCACAGGTTCCCTATCCCTGAATGAATGCAGCACTGCTGATAAACATAAATGCTTAAATTTAAGGGAGGGAGGGAAGAAAAAATAACTTCAATTTCTTTTGGAAATGAGGTTACCATCAATGGGACAGACTCTGAAAGTCTGCTACTTTTATGCTTAAGAGTCTGTTAGTGTTTGGCAATTTCCTGGTCTGCTGATCTTTGTATGTTTGCAGATAAGACATCTGCTAGGATTTGCTTTGCCTTCATCTGCTCTCTCCAACTGATTTCTGGCACTGGCCTGTTAGGTCCCAAATTCTTCACCTCTGCCGTCACTGTTGCTCCTAAGAGCATAAATATTTGCTTAGACATTGACCCAGCGTATAGTTTGATTACATCATAGTGGGCACTGACCAATAATTGGCAGCGTGTGCTGATATGCTGCGGTGTATCAGTTTGGGAGGAAGGAACTTCCATGAAGTGCTGACTATGCCTGGAAGAAATTTTGCTTTCCTTTCATGGCATTTTGGAAAACGTAGTTTGGCTTCTACATGTGCACTGGTGTTTTTGCATAGATAGTTTTGTTTTTCATGGCACATCTTTCTAAGTGGTTTTTTTGTCTGCCCATTTCTTTCGAGACAAATAGATTAAATGAAGAATTTTTTTCTTGTACTTATCTATTATCCTCAGGCTTTGCCTGTGTGGACTTTTATTTGTATCATAGATTAAACAGCAGTTACCAAAATGTTTAATGGATAATTGAGATTTCTAGGCTCTCTAGCACAGTGTTTCCCAACCACTGTTCCGCGGCACACTAGTGTGCCGCGAGATGTTGCCTGGTGTGCCGCGGGAAAAATTAAAAAATTGAAAGATATTTTTTTTTAAAGTCAAATTTTCGATTGGGGCGCCGTCACTAGATGACCCCTGGGGTTCCCTCCCTCCCTCCCGCTCTGCGCCTCCCTCCTCCTCCTCCTCCTCCGGGGAGGCCCTTCCTGGCTCTCGGCCAAGGCTTGGCGGCTGCCACTCACTCACTCACTCGCCCACCCGTCCCTCCATCCCTGCACCCGGCCTCTCCCCCTCCGTCCCCGGCGCGGGGGCTGCCAGGATCCGTAGTCCCCTCGCCCTTGGGCTCCGCGCCCGCGCGGGGTGCGCAAACTACGTTTCCCAGCGTGGCCTGGCGGGCCGGGCGTTTTGTTTGAAGCGCTCTTCTCCCGGCCATGGAATGAGCGCAGCGGCGGCGGCCGGGCGGGCAGGGGCTCTTCCGCGCAGACCCCGCGCAGCCTGCCTGCGCCCCCCGGAGATCAGGCAGCAGGATGGAGCCCGGGGATCCCCGCAGAGGCGGAGCGGCGAAGGCGGAGGCTGCCCCCCAGGTAGGGCTGCGTCGGGGGTTTTTTATTTTTGCAATGCTGCATCCGCGCCGGAGGGGACGCATCGGACCGTGGGGAGACCCCTTGGCGGGCGTGCAAGGCAATGCATGCGTGCAGGCGTTGCATGGAGTGCAGTGCAATGCAATGGCAACGCGGCGCCCTGCATGCATGCATGCAACTTCCACCGGTGCTCCGGACTTGGCAGGTGAGGGGGGTCCCCAGTGGGCGGCAGAGAGAGCCGGGAGGGCGAAGGGGAGCCAGGGGGGAGCAGCGCTGCTCCCCGAGCCGAGCCCGGGGGGAAACTTCGGCGTCGTTGCGCCGGGTGTTGGAAGCGGAGGCTGGCGGGGGCCCCTCACCTGCAAAACCTGGTCGCCTCTCATATATTTCGTGCATTGCATTCATCACCCGCTTTCTCCTCCAAGGAGCTCCCGGGGGCGCGCGTGGTTCTCCCCGTGTTATCCTCGCAAAAACAGCCCTGCGAGGTGGGTCAGGCGAGTGGCCCAAGGGAGCACCCAGGGATTGTCCTGGCCAGGTGGGGTGATTTGAACCCTGCTCTCTGCCCGGTCTTCGTCCTCATTTAGCCCCCACATGTGCATGACTGTGCATGACTGAGGTTTCCCCCCTCGTCTTGGCTATGGTGTGAGTCTGTGCTGTTAATTAATGGGGTTCTGCCTTCGGAGAAGATGAGCCAGCCCTCAAGGAGGTGATTATGTAATTTGCTAGCAATTGATGTCCCTCCCGGCGTGACGCTGCGCGCTGACGTCACGGGGCTGTAATGGTGGTGTGCCTCGAGATTTTTTCATGAAACAAGTGTGCCTTTGCCCAAAAAAGGTTGGGAACACTGCTCTAGCAAGACCACTTTATTTTTTATTAGATTTGGTATTGCCCCTTTTGCTGTGATCTCTTACGTTCCTTAAAATGAATTAAATTCAATGGGATTTATTCATCGAGGACTGCACAGAGGATCACAGGCATACTCTCTCCCTTCCCACAACCATAACCCCTCTGAAAATAGTTTTTCTAATTAAAAAATAGCCATGAGAGGCATTACACACACTTTGTGGATATCATCTAGTTTGTTTCTGAGACATACTTCAAAGAAATAGGGCAACTTGAAATTTACTATGAACCAAGACTGGAATTAAATAAAACCCTTTCATCTCTATGATACAATGCATCCTATTGTTGGATGAGTTATTTCCTACAAGCCAATCCCAATGTAAACATCAGTTAACAGGCTTCTGAACATATTCAGGCAAAAATTAATAGCACTACTTATTAAAAGAGGGAAGGAAGGGTCAGTTTTGTGAGAAAAGAAAAACTAGAACATTGAACTGATTATACAAATAAAAATCCAAGATAAGGAAGTTAAGGTAGGGAAGCAATCACAAATATATGGGAGAGAAGAAAAAGAGAGGAACTGAAGGGAAAGAGAAAGTTAAAAGTTTGAGAAGTCAACTATAAGCCTGGCACAGCATGCTTGATAACTGGAAAAAAGAGTGAAGGAAAATGCTTGAAAATAAGATTGAAGCAGAGTTTGAAGGGATTTCACATACAGCATAACTCCTAACCTATGCTCACCTGAAAGCACTGATTGAGCAGCCAAGCACCTGGAGTCTTATAATGTTACAATACAACAAGAGACAGAAAGGTCATGCTAAATGCAATCCAGTTAATTAGTGCAGTTCAGAAAGGGTTAACATAGAATTCTGTTTGTAGTTATCAGTTATTAACTTGTGAAAATAGTGTTTTCTCCTCCCTCCTGCCCACGACAGACCAGGGTTGCGGTTACACCAACGCCAGGGATACCATCACCAATGGCATCTCCTATGGCGATCTCTCCCTGCAATAATGTGCTGCATGATGCAGAACTGCCATGTGGCAAGTACTCCTAGATATTACTGCATGCAGAGGCTACTTCACGGGAATGCTGGCTTTGGTGGTATTCCCCTGTCCAGCTTAAGACATAACATGGCCGTGACTATGGAAAAGACAAGAAAAAGTTTGTAAAAACGTAAACCGTTTCGCTACCGTTTTGAGTCAGCCTCTGTCTTATTAACAAGAAGCCTCTCAGTCTCTGTGGCGTCCTCAAGGCATACAACATGCTACGTGTGGTGAACTGTGTATCTTCTTGTGATACTTTCTGGAAAGCTTTTATTAAGTAATTTCGTTGTCCCCGAGAGGGGGCAATGACAATAAAGATATTATTATTATTATTATTATTATTATTATTATTTAAAAGCCAGTAATCTGAAGAAATGTGTTACAAACGTTCTTCCTGGTGGACTTGTGCTCCCCTTCCTTGTCCTTTCACTTCCTCACTCTTTCAACGGCCTCGACAGTTTCCAAGTTTATAATCCTGCAGCTCGTTCTCACACCTGCCCACTCTCTCTTGGTGCCAAGATGGAGGAAACGTTTTGCAAACCCTCCATAAAACCGTATCCCCACTTTTTGGTGATTTTGTGCCTCTTTCTAAAAGGGTTCAATCATCTGTGCGAGGGAGTGGGTGTCATGAGGGAAGAACGCTTACTTGCCCCCAGCCCAGCTGTACGTGTTACAGGTTAATTGCAGACGACTTTGGATGGGGATGTATATCTGAATACAGATCACCCAGCTGGAAAGAATGAGGAACAGATGGACCTCATCTACATTCTGCTGCATCTGATTAGCACTCTGCTGAAAATTCCTCCTGCAGCATTATTATTATTATTATTATTATTATTATTATTATTATTACTACTACTACTACACTGGGTGTGACCAGTGTAAGGCTTTTATTGTCCTTAAGGTACCCCTGCCCGTACGGGCCAGTCTTGACAGACTCTAGGGTTGTGCGCCCATCTCACTCAAGAGGCCGGGGGCCAGTGCTGTCCGGAGACACTTCCGGGTCACGTGGCCAGCGTGACATCGCTGCTCTGGCGAGCCAGAGCCGCACACGGAACACCGTTTACCTTCCCGCTAGTAAGCGGTCCCTATTTATCTACTTGCACCCGGGGGTGCTTTCGAACTGCTAGGTTGGCAGGCGCTGGGACCGAACAACGGGAGCGCACCCCGCCACGGGGATTCGAACCGCCGACCTTTCGATCGGCAAGCCCTAGGCACTGAGGCTTCTACCCACAGCGCCACCCGCGTCCCTTATTGTCCTTATCCTACTTTAAAAATCATCAATCAGGTGCGTCCTTTCCTGCTACAAATAATCTCTCCTGTGGTTTGCACGCTCCAGTGGTCTGGACTTCTCTTTAAGCGTTGTGCTTCCAATATTATATTTTGGGCTGGTGCTCAGAAACACAAGCAGTGCAACACACACAACATGTGTATTCATTGCCACAGAGAACATTATCTGTTTTAATGACATTAGGATCTGAGCCCACAGAGGGTCCCAACATGGAGCAAGAAGAACGTCAGGTAGGCTGTTTGTGCACAGTCACCAAGCAGTTGGAAAAACAGGGGACCAAAGGATAGCAAACATATCCTGCAAAAAGCTTTTTGCAAAGCAATAGGTAAAGGTAAAGGGACCCCTGACCATTAGGTCCATTCGTGACCGACTCTGGGGTTGCGGCGCTCATCTTGCTTTATTGGCCGAGGGAGCCGGCATACAGCTTCCGGGTCATGTGGCCAGCATGATGAAGCTGCTTCTGGTGAACCAGAGCAGCGCACGGAAACGCCGTTTACCTTCCCGCCGGAGCGGTACCTATTTATCTACTTGCACTTTGACGTGCTTTCAAACTGCTAGGTGGGCAGGAGCAGGGACTGAGCAATGGGAGCTCACCCTGTCGCGGGGATTCGAACCTCCAACCTTCTGATTGGCAAGTCCTAGGCTCTGTGGTTTAACCCACAGTGCCATCCGCGTCCCTTGCAAAGCAATAGGTCACAGCAAATCATGTGAAAAGGCTTCAAGTAGAGGTCTCTGGTCTGTACTAAAACTGCTGCAGATGTCCCTTGCTATAGGCTTGCTTCACTTTCCCTGTGCTTTGCCTTACATTGCCTCTATTTTACCTGGTTTTGCTTCACATGCTAGGCACTGCCCACGCTCGCCGAATACATGGAAGAAGTCAAGTCCACAAGTGCTTCAATCTGCAATCCTCAAATCCTCTAGTAAAGCATTCACTTCAGCAGGATTTGTGGTGGTAGAATGGTGCAAGCTTCAAGTTTTCCCTAACAAAATAGGCTTCCTATGTCCTAAATAGGAGCACAGTAATCCTGCCATTCTACAGAATGGCCATTCTTTCTTTCTTTCTTTGTGACAGATGGAAATTTGGCAGGTGCTTCCAAGACAGCAGCAATACTAGATTGTAGCAAAAGCTAGTTAGCCAAGAAATCGAACAGGAAAAGTAAATTTTCAGTCTTTTATGGCCACCTCAAGCATAATCCATAGTTTATACATGTTTATGTTAAGTGCAGATAGGGAGCTGGCAAAAACTGTTATAGCTGTATGATCCCTTCTAAAGCATAAGGAAGTTGGTTAGGAATTGAAGGGAGAGGGGGAAATAAAAAGGTTTTCAATCTCTCAGGGTCTAAAATCTGCAAGCTAAAAGGAATGATTGGTCCATACCCATAAATTCAATCCCAAGATGCTCTGCCAATGCAGAAAGTTGACATAAAAAGAAAGAAAAAGGAAAATAGTTTCAGAAAAAGAGCAATACACTGTACTGGAAAAAAAACAAGTTACACATGGACATTATATCTATTTGGTGTTTGCACACGGAGACAGGACAAATGGCATGAGGTTAATGTGGCAGAGTTCATGTAAGCTTTGGCAGGCTCTTGTGTCCATTTGTGAAATGATAGTTTACAGCAAATACACTCTGGCATCTGTATATAATCTGGAGGAACATGGTGAATGCACCAGTTTATGTGAACCCTTAAATATATTTCTGATATATCATGGTGACGGACTGTTTGAACTGTTTGTTGTAACACCTGGCTATTGTAGCATCTGCCCAACACGTGGATCTAAAAACATCTGTATATGAAATTTGCTAGTGTGTAGGCCTGTAACTCATAGTGGGGATTTAAAATAGTGACTCTAGCAAGGCAACGTCTTCCTGTTTATATTTCTATATTTCCCCTCTTACGCTGGGCTGTATCAAATTGACTTTCAGTCTATTACACAGAGTGATAAATTGAACCCGGGAAATTTACTAGTTAAAATAGAACTAAGCTACATTTTCACAGTGCTTATGTCTGAAGAGAAAGTGCCATCTTCTTTGTCCATTGCCTTGTGGAGCTAATTGGTTTCACATGCTGATCAACTAGGTAGATTTATATTTTAAAGGCACAAATGTGAAAAACACTACTTTTATCTTATCATCTGGGATGGAAGTCTCAGAAGAGGAATTAGGAACAGAGGAAACTGCTTGAAAAGGAATAGAGTTGCTAGGATCTCATTTTAAAACAGCATTCCTCATTGCGAAACATTATGGCACCAGAACATTTTGACTGTGCTGAAAATTACTGGGGATACAACTCATTTTCCCGTGTTCTTTACATTTTATTATAAACTGGAAATAAGAAAGAATGTATCTCCAGTAACATAAGGGTTTGGAGCAGAAAAATAAAGTTTGGGGCCCGATTAGACAGAGCAAATTTTGGAGTGCCTAGGTCTCTCACAATGGTACTCTGACTAATCAATGAAGCAACACCTAAATCAGGGGTCTGCAACCTTTAAGACAAAAAGAGCCACTTGGACCCGTTTCCGAAGAAAAAAAAACTGGGAGCCGCAAAACTCATCATTATAAAAATAACTTCTTTGTCACTTTTTTATTATTTCTTTGTTTGACCCCTCAGAATTACTCCTCCTCATAGAAATAAACGTTAAATTAACAAGTTACCCTTTGTGTGTGTTCTTCACTCCCCTTCAAAACAGTGACCAGCGTACATGCCCCCTTTCAATGCAGTGACCAGCGTACATGCCCCTTACAATGTAGCAGGCGGGTGGGCGGGAAGGTGACGTCGGGATGGTGCGTGACTAACGCATGCGACATCACAGCCAGTACAGTGCCCGCCACAGTGGGGGAGTGTCAGGGCGCACAATGCGCCTCCTCCCCTCGCTAGTATCCGCCCTGGAGCTGCGGCAAAGGTGTAAAAGAGCCACATGCGGCTCCGGAGCCGCGGGTTGCAGACCCCTGACCTAAATAATAGTACCCATGGTGTTAGTTTATATGGTTCCTTTGAAACTGTCTTCAACCAGTGCTTTTTTTCTGTGGGTATGCAGGGGTACACATACCCCTAAACATTTTGTGAATCTAAGTTTGGCCTCATTGAGGGGCAGTATTTCAATATGAGTAGGAAAAGGAGAGTACCCCTAAACATTTTTAAAGAAAAAAAGCACTTTCTTTGACAGGCTGCTAGGTCTGGAAGGCCAACAATAGTGGGAGTTACATGTGTGTGTAGCAAGCACAAGAGCATATTTTATAAAACATATGGTTGCTCATATTACATTTAATCCTTATTTCCTGCACTAAAATGTTACTACTCTGCTTACCTCTGGACCCCCTCTCTACATCTTTAAAAACAACCACCTTTTCTGTCCCTCTGTATTTAAATAAGACCAACATTTATTTACTCTGTTTTAGAAACCTAAGGTAAAAAATTATACATGGTAAGGGGGGGGGGATTTGCAATCAGTAACATTTTAAGAATTAAACGAATCTGAATTCAGAGATTTTCCCCTACAGAGCCAGTATTACATGCCTACATGAACACTACTAACAATATATATTAGTTGCATAGAAAGCTTGGTTGAGTCTTCAGTAGAATTAGTGACATGCTCATGCGTATATATTGCTGCATTTACACTAGTTTGTAGGCAAGGAGGGCAGGCCGAATGGAAATTAATTCCAGTGAAAGTAACTCATTTCAGACAGCTTCTATTTGAAATAATTCAACGGGAGATCGGTACTTAAAGAAAATATATTCTGGCACGTAAACCTTGGCCAAAAAGCATGCAAGGGAAACATGCATCGCTCATTCTGACTCCAGAATAATATGTGTATCACTCCAATTGATATTTGATATTCATGGTAACATTCCCCTGATTTTTAAAGAATAACCCAGACAGCCGTGCTTTGTTATATATGTATTCTAATTTACTCTGCTACTGTTCTTTTATATTTCATCATTTGTGATATATTAGCAACAAAACGTTACTTTAAATACAGTGAACAAAATCCATCACCACGAGGGTACGGCAGCCAATGCGTGCGAGAGTTGAATGTAGATTCAACTGAGCATCTTTTTGCACTTTTCTGGCAGCACACATGCAACTATCTGTTCCTGAGGTCAGCTGTGCCCATGTGGTGATGGCTCATTGTCCAACAGCTTTCAATCATATTGACTGTGATAATAAGGATAATTATAATAAATGATGATGCTAATAATCCAGCTATGATTAAAACTGGGAAAGACTGGTATAATACCATCTATGTACGTTCATATTTAACATAATAAAGTCTTAACTTTGAATGTCAAATGCAATATTTAAGACACTCGCAACAAAGCGCTGCCTCTTTTTGAAACAAGCCCTGTTTCATATTCCAAAATTATGTAAATTTAAACCAAATAATGATCAACATGTTCATAGTTTTGCTGGCTCTCTGGCCATGGGTTTTGGATTCATGCCTGGCTAATACCGATGATGGAATTCTCTATGCCAACAAAATTAAAATTGCTATTTTCAGTCCAGTTGAAGACAGAGCATCTAGAACAGTAATGGCATCCATCTCCATTTAATATCCATATTTGGTTGAACAAAAATATAGAGAATATGGATTGGCTGCATACTCAGTTAATACTCTCTTTGCAGTTTATAGTAACATAGTGCACTTTTTAGTTCTTGTTGTAAATTTGTTTCTTAATTATGCTTTAGTTGAGATTTCTGCATTGCAGGGGGTTGGGGGTCTCTTCCAGCTCTAATATTCTACGGTTCTCTGATTGTTCAAGCTCTTCAGAAGTTGAGGGAGCTAAGAAGTATGAGTAGGTGTGGCTTTGAAAATATCTTAAGACATTTCATAGCAGAGCATCTTAGGCACACAAATCCAAAACGTAGTACTGTATATCCCTCAAAATGGGTCAGTGTTGACCACCATGTGTTTTATAGTGGGAGGATTTCACTATGAGAATCACTGTAACATACAAAAAGGAAATGTATGTTTGTATTACAAAGCAATATCAAGAAAGTTGTGTAGTGCATGCATTCTATGTAAATATAAAGGGTGGAATCCCATGTCGCATGAGAAAGTGACCCCCTCATGCAACAGGGGTTCTCTTTTGTCTCCTCCCCCAAAGAGGCTGACCTGGAGCCTTCATTACATATCTTTAGGCACCTGGCAAAAACTTTTCTCTGTAACCAGGCCTTTGGCTGATTAACAGTCGATAGCCTTTTAAAATGTGTTTGGGGAAGAAGGATTATTGGTTGTTTTATTATTATGTATTTTGTGTTCTCGTTTTGTATTTTTATGTTGTGAACCGCCCCTGTGATCTTCAAATGAATGGCAGTAAAGCAATTTAACAAATAAATAAATTGCTCTGGAGGACTGAGGATCTCTGGAGAAGATTTTGAGGGATATGCAGGTGATGGGAGTAGGGTCAAGAGAAGACAAATCAGGGGTTCTGTTTGGGAAGAGGATTTCTGTTGTGCAAGTGAGTGGACATTGTTCGTTGTTGTCCACAGTAATGGTAATCTGGAATTCAAAAGAAGTAATGGTCTATGGGACTACTTAAATAGAACTATTTAGGTCTATATTTTAGGAAAGCAACACAAGTCAAAATCAATTATTTTAATGGCTAACACATAAAATGCAGCAAATGCATAAAATATTCAATCTTTTAATCTAATTAGGCAAACAACTCCATTTTAATATTATGCCTTCATATATTCTTGACCATCAAAAATACTTTTTTTAAAAAAAAGAAGAGCAATAGAAAATAAATTAGAAAATAGTTTAATATTATTTGGGGAATACGATTGTCAAGAAAACTTTTAAAGCACTATGATGTCAAGTCTACACAAATGAGCTTTTTAGTACTTAAGATAAACATCTGGCCAGTGTGGAATCTAACTCCCTCCATTCCCAACAGAAAACTTGAAATATGGGAGAGGTAATTCTTAGGAGGGTTACTGTAGATTATTTATATACATTTTTTGTTCATAGACGAGGAAGATGGAACTGTATGTCCAGTGCAGGCTGTACACTAATGGAAATTAAACTGAACTAGTATACAGTATATTGACTGGTTCCATATTTTCTAGTTTTAGAAAAAAACTGTACAACTTAGCACAAACACAGGACACTCACTCCATGAGTGGATACAGTATTTGTAAGAACATATGAAATTATATTTCTATTGACATTCAAGGGGTTTTCTCAGTCTCAGCTTTTTATGAGGGTGTTTTTACTTGTTTTTATCCTCATTAGGATAAAAAAATTGTCTGGCATCTAAGGAGGTACTTTAAATGCTTAGTGAGGTTTTGAGGGACACCGGCAGAGTTCTTGATATTTTCATACTTTTAAAAATACATTATTTGCAACTAAACACCCTTTGGAAAAAAAGACTAGTGTGATAAAAATATTTATTGATAATTCATTACCACCAGTGAAAGCCTTCTTTATGTATCTCACCTTACATGCTTTTTCACATGGTCATGGCTAATAAAATCGGACCACCTAAATTCACCTTTCAAAATGTGCTTGCTACATGGTTATTGTTTGGATAACTACTATGGTTGAAATCTAATTTACTCAAGCTCACTGGTTTCGGTGGGCTTAAGTTTTCCTAGCTCTGTGTTGTATTTAGGCCTATGGTTGTACTCCATTAGCACAGCGCTACATTTTATTTATTATTTAGGCTTATTTCATATTGCAGCGGCTGAGTTCAACTGTTAAAACTAGAGAGGTGCCTTTACAATTTGCCTAATTTTGCCAACTCAAATCTTAGTTGAATTCTTGAAATTTCTTGTGCCGTCACTTTTCCATGCAAACAAGGCAGAGGCAATCTACGCCAGAGTTTGTGTAATCCGTTTAGTTAACAGATAAAAAAATCTGAGGAAAGATGAAGCGATAAGAAAAGCAGCACCAACTGAGCATGCTCCTATTCAAGCAGAGACAGAAAGGAAGTGGACGTACTGTAGAAGCTTGCCATTACGTAGTTTTGACAGCGATCACCAGTAAATTCATTTGGGCACCTGAGAGTAAAAACAAAAACAAAAAGGTAGAGAAAACAGAGAAAAAGAGAAGAGGTGAATACACGCTAAGAGAGAAGCTTCTTTAGTGTGTGTGTGGCCTGGACTTGGTGTGTTCATCTCCAGCAACCGATTCTGTTTATCACTGCCATCAAAGCTCAAAAGTGAAGTGAATTGAGGTGAACTTTAGAGAAATATAACACGAGAGTACAACACTCCAAATGAAAACATCACTTTTGTTTTATGGCAAAATGAGATCAGTACACACCAGCAAGCTTTCTTTTTAGGTCAAAGTTTCAGGACACATATAGGATAGCTTGCAGTTTTAATAATGGAAAAAAAATGCATTGAAAAAACTTTACACTGATTTATAATGTACATATGACAATGTACAGCCCAAGGCAGAAGAAACAGAGCCCAGTTCAAACTGAAGGATGAAAACACCAAGTGACACTGATTTTGACTGCTGCAGTTGGAGGAGAAAGCAGATTTCACATTATTTTACAACATACTTTCTGGGTACTGGCTTCTCATGGGCAGAACTTCAGCACATCTTTTCCCAGTGTATCCATGTAGGCACCTAAAGGGCAAAAATGTGATCAGCGATTGAAAAAAACAACAGCAAAACCCAGAAAAACAGAGAGAATGCTACTCTGTTTCCTATGGAACATGAAAACTCCTCGCAAAGACCTCTGGGAGGGAAAAAATAATAATGGAAAAAAGACAAAATATCCAAGTCTGTTTTATAGATGCTCTATATTCAGGTAGGTAGCTGTGTTGGTCTGAAGAAGTCGAAATAAAAAAATAAAAAAATAAATTGTCCAGTAGCACCTTAGAGACCAACTAAGTTTGTTCTGGGTATAAGCTTTTGTGTGCATGCACGAACGAAGAAGAAAAAGTGTGCATGCACATGAAAGCTTATACAGTGGTACCTCGGGTTACAGACACTTCGGGTTACAGACTCTGCTAACCAGGAAGTGGTTGCTCCAGGTTAAGAACTTTGCCCCAGGATAACATGATAGTTAACGTAAGGATATGTACAATTTGATAACATGCAGAGAATAACATGTGCTCAGAAATCAGAGAGAGGAGCTGAGGGAAGTCTTGGGGGGGGAGGGTTTGGGGGGGAATTAATGAATATGATAGGTTTTAATAGTTTGTATGTTGGAATTATTAATATACATTTTTAAAGAAATTTGCGCCAGGATAAGAATGGAAATCGCGTGCCAGCGCTGCAGCAGCAACAGGAGGCCCCATTAGCGAAAGCACACCTCAGGTTAAGAACCGTTTTAGGTTAAGAACAGACCTCTGGAATGAATTAAGTTCTTAACCCGAGGTACCACTGTACCCAGAACAAACTTAGTTGGTCTCTAAGGTGCTACTGGACAATTTTTATTTATTTATTATAGATACTCTGATTGCATAGATTTAATTTGCAATTTTATTACAAAAAATCTACATCATGAAAAAAAGCACCATACAGTGGTACCTTGGGTTAAGTACTTAATTCGTTCTGGAGGTCTGTTCTTAACCTGAAACTGTTCTTAACCTGAAGCACCACTTTAGCTAATGGGGCCTCCCGCTGCCACTGCGCCGCCGGAGGACGATTTCTGTTCTTATCCTGAAGCAAAGTTCTTAACCCGAGGTACTATTTCTGGGATAGCGGAGTCTGTAACCTGAAGCGTATGTAACCCGAGGTACCACTGTATATTCACAATGGACCATCTCATCACTTGCTGATTAGTTAACTTATTAGATCACATTTTCTCTTTGCATTCGTTTCCAACAACAAATTCATAATCTTGACATTGCAATGTAAATGATAAACAATGACAAAAAAAAAAAATCATTTGAGTTCATTTTTTTAAAAAAAGTAAAGTAAGTTAAGGTTTATTTTAATGCCACATTTTAGTTGAAAGGCCACTCATGGTGGTGCACAAGAACTTAAATTACAAAATGAAATATATAAAATATAAATTTGCTGTCGGATTATGTCATGACAAACAATAATAATACCTTAGGAACATCAGGGGTTGGTGGGGAAAAGGTGAAGCCCAATGGAAAGTATTGTCTAAGGAACCAAATGCAACTCCAGAAGGAGGAAGTTTCAAAGCCTGGGTACCAATGTGGATAAGACTTTGGTTTGCACACTCGCCTCAGACAAAGGCAAGATGCAATGCGGAGTAAGGACCCTTCAAATGACCACAACAGGCCGGCAGTTTCACATGGATGCAAGCAAACATTCCTTCAGATACCTGCACCTTAGCTGTTTAGGGCTTTAAAGGCCAAACACAGCATTTGGAATTGGGCTCAGAAGCAAACCGGGAGCCAGCGTAGCACAAGTAACATGCCCTCGCCACCACTTCTGCCCAAAGCATTCTGCACCAGTTGTAGCTGCTAGATACACTCTTCAGAGGAAACCTCTAAGTAGTGCGTGTTGCAATAATCAAACTCAGAGGTGAGCAAAGCATGTGCAACAGTGGCCAGACCTGCCCTTCAGGCAGCAGCGCAGTTGGCGCATAAGCCAAAGCTGTGCAAAATCATTCCTGGCCATGGCTACCACCTGAGCATCATGGAGCAAACCCAGGTCCAGGAGAACACCCAAACTGTGCACCTTATTCTTCAGAGGAAACACACCCCTTTCCAGAACAGGAGACACACTTAGGAGCACCTCTGTCATGTTTGGATTAAATCTCAGCTTGTTAGCTCACATTAAGCCCATCACAGCCTCCAGACACTGGTTATGGGTTTTCACTGCCTCTTCAGAATCTTAATAGAGAAGGAAGGCAGGGGTGGTTATCATCTACATACTGATGACACCATACTCCAAACCTACAGATAACCTCTCCCAGTGGTTACATGTAGAAACTGCCTCTGGAACCTTTAAGTAACCAGAATGGGCATGTGTTAAGCATGAAGTCACCCTTAAACTTCTAAATCAGATGCAATGGTGTTGCTTCTTTTTGTGTTGTTGTTGCTATTACTGCCATGGGGTAGACTAAAAGATAAGCACTAGCCAGTGTTTGGTTGAATCTATCATTTCCATTCAGTACTATGTTGAACCCAAGACAGAAATAATGCCTTGGAACAAGTACAGAAAAAGTCAAATGGATGTCTGGATTCAAACTATGAAAGAGCCCCCTTCTAGACAGCCTCAGGCCTGATCCAGAAAGCTTTTCGTATGTTCTTATCCAGTGCTTTTTTTCTAGGGGGTACGCATACCCCTAAACATTTTGTGAATCTAAGTTTGGCCTCATTGAGGGGCAGTATTTCAATATGGGTAGGAAAATGAGAGTACCCCTAAACAATTTTTAAAGGAAAAAGCACTGTTCTTATCTATGGTCATGCTGACACTAATCGAACTCTGGAAAGTATGAGATTGAAAACTTCCCACACAATTAGTGAAAAATCACTAACTCCCAAATACGGTTTCCAACATGTAAATAAGGCATTTTGACCTTTCCTTTCAATTACATTCTATAAATAAATGATAAAAAGAGAAGCTATCTAAATCTGTTGCCGCAAACAGACAAAATTTCATGTGGTACCATCAAATTAGTAGGCTTCTTGTTTATAGAACATGTGTCATATTTTGCAAAGTGCATGAAGCAACTTGTAGCATGAAGCGAATAAAATATTCTGAGTGGTCCACCAAACACTAACATAGTTGTTGCGTTGCAGGCGTTCATAGGCTGGAATTCAGTTCCTCAGATGCACCATAAAGGTGCATAACTGGACTCTTGGTTATTTTTGCTGCAACAGGCTAATTTTACAGTATAATGTTTATTGTGACATGATTACTATTTTACCAGATGCAAAAAGTGGACAGAAATGGCTTTAGATATAAAATATACATCCATAGAAACTTCAGAGATAAGTTCAAGTTTAACAACAGCACAGAGGTTTTTCCATGTGGCAAGGCCCCCATATTTTGTAATTTGTACAGTTGTTCTTTTATTATTTAGCACTTGCCTATTTATTAACACAAGTATATATGTAGCATATGCAGAAGTAATACATAAAGGAAGAAATAGAAAGCAATTAAAATCAAATGTCAGTTTGCCATTCATGCCAAGTGGGTTGTGCAACATTTGGTTAATTTTTCCATGTCACATAATACTCAAAAAGACCCAGCTGGTTCCCCTGGTATGCTATAGGTCTGTCTCTGCAGCAACCAAAAGTGGCCATGAAAATGGTGATACCTATTGATTAAAAAAAATGGTTAAAGCTATGGTTTTCCCAGTAGTGATGTATGGAAGTGAGAGCTGGACCATAAAGAAGGCTGATCGCTGAAGAATTGATATTTTTGAACTATGGTGCTGGAGGAGGCTCTTGAGAGTCCCATGGACTGCAAGAAGATCAAACCTCTCCATTCTTAAGGAAATCAGCCCTGAGTGCTCACTGGAAGGAAAGATCCTGAAGCTGAGGCTCCAGTACTTTGGCCACCTCATGAGAAGAGAAGACTCCCTGGAAAAGACCCTGATGTTGGGAAAGATGGAGGGCACAAGGAGAAGGGGATGACAGAGGATGAGATGGTTGGATAGTGTTCTCCAAGATACATGAATATCAGATGGAAGTGAGCGTTTAATGTGTGAAGGAGTGTGGAATGTGGATGTGTGGTGTTTTACCTATGGAAGTTTGGCCTCGCTGAGGGACAGTATTTCAATATGAGCAGGAAGATGTTAGTGCACACAACCTCATGCCAATGTGAAAGTAACTGTGAGCTGTCAGCTGTGTAATATGAGGTAATGCGTGTTCTTTGTACTTTTGTCCATTTACTGTATTTATTTCCCCCAATTTGAACTATAAAATGGTTATTTTCTTGAGTCAAAATGAGAGTACCCCTAAACATTTTTTTAAAGAAAAAAAGCACTGGACAGAATTCATCTTGTCTTGGAGACCTGAACTAATTCCCAGTGTCTAGCTATTCTCTAACCACCTCCTTCGCGATTCTAGGCTGCAAGTTTCTCCTTTTATCATTTGTTCTATTTTCCTAGGTAGAATTCCCACTGCAGGAAATGACTGAGGCAAAATAGACATTCAAGTAGTTCTGCCATCTCTCAGGCCATCTTCCTCAAGCTGCAGTCCTTCCATGTTCTTTTTCTTGCTCCAAACATAAGCGAGTTGGTTGCTGTCCCCCCCCCCATCCCCTGCAAGCCTTAGCTAATTCTGAGCTTTAGTATTCCTGACACCATATTTAGACGTTCAGCCTACTCCAGTGCACTCATATTTGGCGATCTGTTCCTCTTGCTATCTTCCACACATGCCCCCTTTAAGTCTCTTGTTGGAGAGCTCCCTGTGAGGAATCACAGGCTTCTTTAACTGTCTTCCATTTTTCCTTCTCAATGGAACAGTTTGTGATAGTGGCTTCCTCAATTTACTTTTCAGAATCTCTCATCCCCTTTGAACTATTTCCTCATTCAAGTATTTCTAGTCATGAAACACTGCCCAGCTTTTCTCAGCCATTTGAAATGGGCTTTTCCAAAGTCCACGGAAGATGTCCACCTATGCTCATTTTTCACTTCCCTTCCCCTTATGAATACCAAGATGACACGGTCACTTTCCTTCAGAGTTTCCCCTGCTCTCAATTCATCAACCAGTTCTCCCCTGTTCACCAGGATTAAATCCAGGATTGCAGACTCCCTTGTTACTCTTTCCACTTTCTGAAATACGAAGTTGTCAGCAAGGCAAGGCAAGACTCTATTGGATAGTTCACTCTTAGCAGAACTAGACTGATATCAGATGTCAGGGTGGTTGAAAAACCCCAGTAATACTATGACTCTTCTCTGTGAAAGTTTTGTAACCTGTTTTAGGATAGCATCATCATGTTTTCTGGTTGGCTGGACATAATACACTGACATAGCAATATCAGTTTTGTTCCTCAGTCCTCATATCTTTAATCAGATGCATTTGGCTGGGTTTTCGCTCTCAGATTCACAGATATCTTTACATATAATGCTAATCCAAATCCTCCCCTTTCTGAAGAGAAATCTATAATTTGACTAGGAAATCTGCCAATATCACTGCAGCGCTGTGACCTGGCAACATTAAGGGGACGATGTGGCCAAGAGGTAGGAAGGAGCAGCGGATGTGAATTTCATATATTGATTTCAGCTAATGAGATAATACTTTGCTTGCAGACTTCCATTTTTTAAAGGTCATCTTTTAAGGGCTATGATTAGATACATTTTAATTTTCTTCTAAGTATTGTTTATGTGGGTTTTGGGATGAACTTTAATTGTGTTTATTACAGGACAGGTATAATATGTGTGATAAGAATTCATTATCAGTTAAACCGTTTTCGGCCAGCTCCGTCATTAAATGCTAATATGGATGGCCATAAAACTAAAAAGAGCATGCATTTCTTAAGGATTGTAAGGTGTTCCTGCTGACAGTGTACTGGATAGTTAGTTTAAAATGGAAGCAAAACAGATCTTGTATTTTACACGTCCTGATTTATTAAACGTTGCCTCATTTCAGTAGCAATTGCATTAAAAACCTTTTATGTAAGTGTCACACTTACATACATCACTCCCAATAATGCACATGATTGTTGCCAAACCAACCCTGGATCTAACAATAGATCTAAGGTTAATATTAGTAAATTGTTGAGGTGACTCTGGGAACCAGACCATAATACAATGTGTTTTGGAAGTTAAATAAATGCAGTGACTCTGCTGTTCATTTGTGAAGTAAATTATTCATGTTAAACAATTTACCAGGTAACACAGAAAAAGCGTTTGCCAATAGATGCTACAACTCTACTAAAGAAAAGTTTTTGGTTTTTTTACCTGCACAAATATCGTGGATTTGGGAGATCTTTGACCATGAAGCACTCGCCTCCATTTACACAGAAGTCTTTCTTATTCACACCACACTTTGTGAGATGACTTGTCCCAGTGGTAGATGTAGATGTGGCTAGAATAAACACAAGGGGGATGTTAATATTGTTGCATAGAACAGCGTCAAACTAGAATGACAGCATTTGCATTTTAGTGTTTGAAATATTAGTGCAATAAACATTCAGCTTCTGGATTACAAAGAAAAACAACTATGAGCCTGTCCAGAATATTTTTGGGTACTCCTATGATCTCTACATCCTCACTTACACCCACTGTACACGTTGCAATCGTGTCACCTAGCCCTCTGTGTTTAAATATAGAACTGCCCCAGTCACAAAGAAAGAGGAAATGTTGTGATCAGATCTTTCTCCCAGCTAAGTTCACCTCCATGAGTTCTGCAGAAGGTGAAAATGATTGGGAGAGAAGTTGCAGTCAGTCATCACCTGTGTGTTTAAATGAATCCCCACCTCACTCTCTTGAGGAGAGTGGGGCAGCTTAGGCACACAAAACACACCCAATGGTGCACTGCGTTGGTTTTAAAAGCCCAAAAGGAAAGCACTCCAGCTGGGAATGTTTAAAGAAAAGATGAACTATATGATACTATAGTTCAGCTATAATTAACAGTGAAATTAAAATAATTGGTAAACTATGCTTTGCATGTAACAAAGTCACTGTACAAATTTGCAAATGTATATACAATGTAAGGGACGCAGGTGGCGCTGTGGGTTAAACCACAGAGCCTAGGACTCGCTGATCAGAAGGTCGGCTGTTCGAATCCCCGCGACGGGGTGAGCTCCCGTTGCTCAGTCCCTGCTCCTGCCAACCTAGCAGTTCAAAAGCACGTCAAAGTGCAAGTAGATAAATAGGAACCGCTCTGGCAGGAAGGTAAACGGTGTTTCCATGCGCTGCTCTGGTTCGCCAGAAGCGGCTTAGTCATGCTGGCCACATGACCCGGAAGCTGTACGCTGGCTCCCTTGGCCAATAAAGCGAGATGAGCGCTGCAACCCCAGAGTCGGTCACGACTGGACCTAATGGTCAGGGGTCCCTTTACCTTTACCTTTATACAATGTAAAGCCACAGAGTTCTATTACACATGGGCTGGGTCTACAATGATCTGTAAAACGTCATTAAAAATAATGTTATAAAAATATTGTTATAAAACGCTCAATGCATTTTTATTGCCGAAGGCTCACTGCTCTACAATGAGTGTAGATGAGCCCATGGTATCTTGCATGTCTCCTTTCTTTGCAAAACAACAACAAAATCCCAAAACACTATCCTGATCCTGGATCTAGCAGTGACCAGGGCATTAAACCGGAGACTATGGTGTCACTGGCCAAGGAACCAGCCTGAAAACTTGCTGGTGATCCACTGAACTATAGACTGCCAAGCAGGAATATTGAAATACTTTATTGTCACTTGTACAACTTGTATACAGTGAGATTACACGAGCACCCCCCACTCAGCTCTCTTAGTCTTAATTCCCCTCATTTACTGACGCACACCCACCAAACCCGAAAGTCAGTTGCCCTGTTGTTATCTTTTCATTCAGCAGCCTAACAGCCCACAGATAGAAGCTGCTCTTTACCCTGTTGGTGCAACTAATCATACTTCTATATCTTCTGACTGAGGGCAGGAGATCAAGAAAGTGCCGGCCAGGGTGTGAATCATCTCAGAGAATTTTCCTCACTCTCCTGAGGCAACGTTCTTCCGCTATTTCATCCAGCGGATTCACGGGACAGTTCATAATATCTTGTGCTGTATTCACCACACTCTGCAGGCTCTTCCTATCAGTTGGTGTCAAACCAGCGTACCACACCGTGATGCAATATGAAAGGACACTTTCAGGAACCAACTGAATCTGATGTCCCAACACCCTGGCACACAGAACCAGAATGAGGAGGCTCACAGTCCTCTTCCGCTTGGTTCAAGTGCCTCACCACCTCACCAGTTCAGCCCTGCAGGCAAAAAGGCCTTGAATATAGGAGAATTGTCCATTTTCAGGCTGACAGGTTGGCCCTTCAAGATACCCTAGTTTTGAAACAGGCCTCGGTTCATTTCCAACTCTTCTGGGGGCAAGTTGTTCACTAGGAGCTCTCCTTGGTGCTGCCTTGCTCCATTGGTTCTCATGAGGAACCAGAACAGGACCTTAATAGCCTGGCAACCTCTTGGCCTCACATACATTTCACTGGTTGTAAGGTGAAATAATCAAATACTGAATTATGTTGCTAATCCTGCAAATATGCTCATTGCAATTATTTTGCTATTGTCAGACACTACAGTGTGGAAAATACATCACCAGCACTCCAATGAAGAATTTAGTTGAGTCTGCAATCCTATGCACACTGCCCTGGAAGTATGCTCCACTGAACATATGCTCTTCTGAGTAAATAGGAATAGCTTTGCTGCCATTGTATGAGACAATTTTATAGAGGGGCAAAGCAGGCAGAAAAGGCTGGTGAAGGAAAAGGAAGAAACAGAAGTGAAGATGGTTGAAACCAATGTATTATTTTGAAATAGCTGAATATTTTGCTTGAGGCCTCTAATAATTTTTATAATGCTATAAGAGGGTCACCTGGGAAGGAAGCTAATAATACCACCAATGCTATAACCATTAATTTTATAACTGACCTTCAAAATGCTCACACATGTATGATCTCAACACTGGTGCTTGTTCAATGTTCTCTTAGCTAGGAGCAAGCTGCTTCACAATGAGGAAATTCCATGTAGCTTGGAGAATGTAAGTTTACGGGCCAATCCCATACAAAAGACTTGGGTGATCTGACTCGTTCCATGCGGCTGGGACAGTGAAATGTCTTCCCAGGAAAGCAGCAGGAAATGTTCATAGATAGGTGGCTCCCACAATGGCTAGGATAATGTCTAGATGGCACCCACCACACAAGAGAGATATAACAGGTAGTAGGAGAGCCGTTATTCACAATCTCAGCTCTCTGTCTCTCTCTCATATGTGAACTGCTAGTTGCTCTGCTCCCAATTCCAAGGCATTTGCCAATTCTCCAGATCACTGGACTACTGATTTCCAAGGTTTAGCAATCTGGGGGCTGGCATTGCTTCTGCGTAGTTCTGCAGAATCGCTCAGCAAGCATATGGTTAAGCCCTTAGGAGGGAGAGGCTCCAGGAGGTCTTCCCTGACTCAATGTCCTCTAAGGAACTCCACATCTTATCTTCAATATGTGGAAGAGATGTTGTTAAGTAACTCCAGGTTGGAAAGTAATCTCTCCTAATATAATCTTCTTTCTCCTTTTACTTAGACATCGGTTTAATAATCCACAGGCTGTGTTAAGAAGTTTGAGCATGTCAAAATATTTATTGCATATGCCTACCTAGAATCACATGTGAATTCCATTTCCCACTCCTCCCACTTTAACCCTCTAAAATGTTTCCTCCTGAAAGCAGACTATTACTCTGGAGACGCCCTGCAGTTCAGAAAGTGAATGCATTAATTTGAAAAAGAAAAGCAATATTGTCTGCTTGAGCTCCTGCAGACAAAGCTTATTACTGCCACAAAGGCTAATGGAATGCTTTAAATTGAATTACAAGGATGGTTGTAGAGGAGTCATGCCTAAAGCTATCTATAATTGCTGCGGCCTTCTTGCTTTGCACTTTTTCTTCCAGCAGCTGTGAGATCAGAACTGATCACCCTGGGAGTTTCAGAGTAACAATTAGCTCTTAGCTGATATAAACTTGTGGACAAATCTCGACTGCAGACAAAGCTGGTTTAACAGTCATTCCCCCTCTTTGGGGAATCCTGGGAACTGTGATGCAAGCCAAGGGCCTCCACCAGAGAATTTTCAGCATCCCCACCAAAGTACAATTCCCACGATATTTGGGAGAAGCCGTGTTTGTTAAAGTGGTACAAAATCTATGCAAGTTTATAGTGTAAACCTCTGCTAAGTGGCTGCCTTGTTGTCTTCAGACTCAAATCCTTCACAGACCTGTGCTACATGCACCTAAATTAATCTGCACCAACTCTGATACATTAACAAGTTCAGTACTTTCTAACATGGCTAATAAAGCAGAAATCCTTCTACATAACATCAATGCATCACCTCTATGCAATTCTTTTTTATTTTTTTTACTAATAGCCCCTTAATGCTGATTCCTTTGACCGCATTAGTCTGACTTCATCTGCTAACAACTCCAAAACAGTATCAATGAAACAATACTGAGACAAAGTGATAAAAGAAAATCCTTCTAAATTAGAATGAATAATTTCACTCCAAACAGGAATTGAGTAAATAGCACTGATCTTGACTTTAGCACTGATCAATAGTCTAGGCTATTATTTTCCATGAATCTATGCAAAGCAGTCATATTCACTCCAAAAGAAGAAAACTTAAGTTCTAAATATTTAGAAATACAGAATTACTAACTAGTTGTCTCAAGTGTCGCACAATGAAATGTCACAAGCAACAATTTTACTTTTACTCAGCTCTTTCTCTCTCCTTTTAGTTTTTCAAAGTATAATATTTTGAGGCAGCCAGAAAATCCCAGAAGGATTTGTACTTTACCAAAAAGAAATAAAAAGAGCTCTCATGTCAGAGAATAATAATTCATCTATTCTTCTAAATATTTCTTTACCTCTGCCTTTAACAGAGCACCTAACAACTTTCTGAATAAAACCAATTTAATAATTCATCATAATACATTCTCTGCAAAAAAAAACCCCACCAAGGTAAAGTTTTGCTTACCTGAAGCATTGTTGACCTTTTTGTGCCTTAACTTAAGGAAATACATTCTAAATTCTTTCTCTTTAAAAAAAACCCCAAAACAAACCACACTGCACTGCTAAAGCTTACAAGTACCTTTTGAGTATCTTTTATACAGCCTTAATCTTTTTTTAAAAGCCCCATGTTCCCTAGGCTACCTTTAGATCTGTGTGAACTCAAGTGCAAGATATACTTGTACGTATTTTAATAGGGTTTCTGCCGATGTCGGGTGTAATTTCAAGTGGATACATGATCAGACCCACAAGGTACGATGTCATTGCTCAGTGAAGAGAAAATGTGCCAGTCTCAGAACTTATGGGTCATGAACAAGACTCCTTTGCTGAAT